CTGTATCTACTGTGGTACATTCTTGATGTCTAATGTAACTTATGACACCATTGCCAATAAAAAAAAAAAAAAAAAGAATTTTTGTCTTTTTTCTTTTAGAAAGAATTCCCTAAGCAGTGCACTATTGTTCTTCCTTAAATAGGAAAGTGGAGTAAAAGAAAAGAAAGACAAAATACACAGGCCATTGGCAAATACACGATGCAGGCTTTTGGGGGATGTTTAATGAAGGAGGCATGACTGGCAAACACTAAGTATTTGGTTTGATTCTTAAAACGATTGAGCAGTGTGGATGGTTTCTAGAAAGGACCTTCCAAATGGAAAGGTAATCAACTGAAACATGTAATATGCTTTTACAAGGTTCTTCTAGAGAACAAAGCTTTCCTTTGATAGCATAAGCACTCTTTGAATCTGCATCATGAAACCATAGGAGCTTTGAAGTCCATATAAATACTTAAGAGGCAGTCCAACTTAGTTGCACTGGCTATTATAAGAGAAAACTGGCATAATCCACAGTTACTTGCTGAGGTTGGAAGGCCCTCTGGGTTTCTTTCTTCCTTATTTAATTTAATAACTTCTAGTTGCTGTCAAGTTATCAGAAAGCAGAGGGGAAAAGTTGAAAGCGAGGTCTTCTTCCCTAATTAAAAAAGACTGCCATTCTGAAACTTATTGAGACCTATTTTTCCTCCTATAACTTCTAAAGTTTTATGCTGTAACTGAGGTAGGGCTTTTTATTTGAATTTTAAAAGATAAAATGCTTTAATTAGAACTTCTCAAGTCACTCATTTGCATAGTTATTTGCACAGTAACATCAACTATATATTATCATTAGGCAAAGTAACTTTGCCATAACGACTACAGTAATTATTCCAAATTCCTTCTGCAACTTTTTTTCCCCCCTTGGTATATCCGCATGTGAACTTCTGTACTTTAGGGCAATTTTCTATTACCAAACACTTTAAGAACTAAATTAGCAAGCATTAAGGGTCATAAGCTAAATACATATGTATACATTTATTTAATTGAAAGCTTAGATATCTAAATCATAGTTTTTTTGCCTATTTGTGATGGTTTTTAATATCAAAAATGATAACTTCATATGGTTTATCTCAATACATATACATCTATATAATGTATGTATGATTATATATATATATATATATATATATATATATACACACACACATATATATATGCATGTTCTATCTAAATGTATATTACAGAACATGTATGTATAGATTTATTTGTGTATGTTAGTGAAAATTAAAGATCATGTGCCAATTATCATTCAGGACTACTCCTTTATTACAGGAATTTTACAAAACAACAGAGAGTATTGTTTTTTCATTCCTCAATGCAAATCTCCTATTTAGATTTTAGGCGTTTTTGTTTTCCTGGCTGACGGCATACATGAGCAGAAGGAAGATCTCTAGAAGTCCTCTTACATAGATGCCTGCTGTGGAGCTGCTAACAGAGTTCAGTCTTCATTCTAAAGACCGTTTTCTAGTACCAGCCATCAATCCCACTTAGCAGTTATACTGCAGACTACTTACTGAACACCTTGACTACTGTAGGTGCCTCAAACACGTTGTCCTCTGTTACTAGCATGCACACAAATCTCTTTTCATCACTGATCCTTGCATTACTGATAGACAAAGTGTAGTTTTCTGAGAGGCTCAATCTGTCTTTGTATTCTGGTACATCGTCGTACTGCACACTTTTCTTGGTAGAGGACCTGAAGGCAATAAATACTGGGGAGCCATCGGGCTTTTCCTAAAAATTAAAATAACAATATATTTTAAAAACAAGCATATTCAGATGTTTCAGGATTACAGCCAGAACAACCAAATTTTCCTGGCCATATTCTTCCAACAATATTTGTACTTTTTGTCCAAGAAGAATAATTTTGGATATGAGCCCCATATAAAGTTTTGGTTATAGGAAATAACTCCTCTTTAGAGGAGAAACTGTAAGTTCTTTCACAGGTATCGGTATAAATGTGTGAAAATGACAAGACGTCCTAGGAATCTCAGCCTTTCTTTCATCTGGAAGAGAGAATTAATGACTCTTTTGAAACTAGCAAGTACTCGTCATATATATAAATATATATATATATATGTATCTTATACATATATATTAAACAATTATCTTTTGGACAATTATGTTTGGCTTTTTTTTTTTTTTACTTTAATCTACATACTTTAAATGTCTACTCTTCAGCCAAAAGTAACATAGCTCAGGTTTACATAGAATGTTGTTTAATGAGTCTTCATGGAGAAACATTATATGTCCTTGTAGAATAATCATGTCTAAGATATAGATTCAGATTAATCACTAAACTCAATAGTTTATATCTACCTGAGGCTTAAAACTGGGCTCAAAAGTCATATGTATAAAAACTTATTTTCTAAATGCAATATAATTTGTATATACAATTATGCCAAGAGCAGTAGCACATAGAGGGCATTTCTTCCTCTGCTCCCAAAAACATTCTATTAGTTAATAATCAATTTAATCTAAAATAGGGTCCAATCCCTTCTCTACTTGCCTCACAAGGCCTTTGAGAATACAGAATATGATAAAGCACATAAAAGTGTGTGGCAAATGTTAAAGTTCTATGAAAGTTTAAGTTTTAAAGATTATTAATATTGATAGCTAAGTTAATCTTAAAGAGTCTAAAAGTTTTAATTGAGTGAATTATCTAAATATGTCATTATCTTCTCATTAAATCATTAACTTTATTGCAGATTTATAACACAAATCTTTGCTTTAAATCATTCCATCAGTAAGAGAAATAAGTTCCCTTAAATTTAAGTATTCATTCATTTTGGAAATAAATAATAGTTATTCATTTTTGAGTACCTAACTACTTGTCAGTCCTTTGCTTTGTTAATTGATTTAATTCTCATGAAAATTATATAAATTAAAGTTATAGCATAAGCTCCATTTACAGATTAGACAATGGAGGTAGAGTTTGGATAACTAACTTCCCAAGTCATAGCTAGTAAATGTAGGCAGAGCTGAGATTTGATCTCTGCTGCCAGGCTCCATTATGATTACATTCCACCACCTTCATAGCTGGTATCTCTTTTGTTCCAAGCACTGTGACAGATGCTGGTAAAGAGGAGACAGGAGTGAGTTTTGGGAGGCTGCTCAGGATGATATGCTCTCTATTCACAGGGAGCTCACAGTGTGACAGTGCAGAAGCCAGTCCAACCTTACTCAATGTTTGCTTCCTCTCACTCTTACCAACCTTCCAATTGTCTTTCAGGAGGTTACATTGAATTAGAGCATATACATTACAATTTCTGCAAATCAGGGCTGGTTTTAGAGCACATAGCACCTCAAATGTATCTCTCATTACTTCACTGCTGAAGCTTTTTGTCTAACTGACAATTTGAAAATTGCCATTACTATTTGGTTTTCAAATATCATTGTGTCAGTTCAGTTTAGGTAAAAATCACTTCCTGCATTATAGGTAGAATTTTCTATGATCACAGAAGTTTTTCACCACCTTCACTCCATTTATTTTGGCAGCAGTTTCAATCCGACAGGTGAATTAGTTGATAGTCTCCTAGTACCTTAGAATTTTTTTGGGGTGGCATAGTAGCTAAGGCAATTGACTGCAAACCAGAAGGCTGGTGGTTCAAACCCACCAGCCACTCCTCAGAAGGAAGGTTGGGCAATCTACTTCTGTAGTGATACTGCCTCAGAAACCCAAGGAGGGATTGTTATAGTCGAAATCCACTCCACGGCAGTGAGTTTAGTTTTGTTTGTTTTTTAGTACATTTTGCTCTGATAGGTCTTAACTTCAAACTTCCACCTCTATAGGAAAAGAGAAATAGTGCAAGTTTACCCAGCATGAACTGGGTAACAGGAGGAGAGTACAAAGAAATACTATGCAGCCTCACCTCCTACCTTTCTTTGATCTATATACTCACACAAGCATAGAGTCTATGATATGGTAAGCCCCATAATAATAATAGCTTACATTTCTCAAGCAATTAGCATGTGCCAAGTACTAGATAAGTATTTTCATAGGAATTGTTTCATGTAACCCTCTCAACAAAACAATGAGGAAGGTTTTATTATCATCCTGTCGGTCAGACTTCAGAACCCACATTTTTTTTTAATTGTGATTTGTGTAAAAGTTTACAGACCAAATTCACTTTCCATATAGCAGTTCACATACACGTTGTCTCATGACACTGACTACAATTGTTCCCCGATGCAACAGCTTTTCCCACCCACTTCCTCCCGATAGTCACCTTTGCCCTGTGTCCACCCCTCCATGCACTCCTGTCCCCTGAGCTGTCTCCCTGTGTATAAACAGCCTTCTTTCTCCCATGATTCAGAACCCACATTTTAAAAGACTGTGTTAAATACACCACCTTTCATGTGCAACTTTAAGCACATTTCCCAAAATGTGTCCTGCAGAATATTTTACTCTTAGAGATATTGGAAGAAAAACCTTGTGTAATCAAATAAACTTAAGAAATGAATTAAACTATGGCCCTCAGACAATTCATGGGGTACTTTAACATTTGAAAGGCTCTGAGAGGTCTTCAATAAAGAAACTTCAAAAATTATTGGACTATCAAATTCTTTTCCTATGCAAATACCTCTCAGCATTTCAAGAAGCTAGGGAAAGTTTGTTCTAATCTAGAAGAGATTAGTAATAGCTATTGTGTCCAAGGAAACGTATTTCTACTTTAAGCTTGCAAACTACCATGAGTCTCATGTGGTTGAGACCTGGGAAATTGCACTACAGAGATTTCTTTCATTGGTTTTGGTAATTAAATTGGGGTATTTTATCAGTTCTAGTTACCTAAGCCTTCCACATCCAACTACCCAGAAATGTATACTCCATTTCTAGACCCAATTTATACCTCCATAACTGGAAAAATATGATTTTACTATCTATAAGAAAAAAGATAAAATCAACAATGTTAAATGTAAAAAGGACCTATAACATCAACACAGTTCTAAGGCATAACACAAGAAAAAAAAAAAACCCTTATAATGCTGATGAGTAATTAATCTCCAATGAGTAGGTAGGTACTGTAGCTACTGGTGTCTCTTGCGTTGGCAATAGCCACATCGAGACAAAAGCAGTATATGGAGAAAGGTAGTCATCATTCACTAAGCTCTGCCCTGTACTCTACTGATTTTGGTCTGGCACTATGCATATTCCTCTACCTTTAACACTTAAGGTTAAATCTTTCAAATGAATATGATCTAAGAATTACGTGTTTATTGGCTTTATTTAAAAATAGCATTTGTTATGTAAGACTTGGGAATGATTCTTTTGGCATATTCAACAGATTAATTCTACCTTCCTACATTTGTACCCACAGTCAAATTTTGCCGTTATGCTCATTTGAAAGTCACATTTATTCATATAAAAATTTTTATTTCAAAAACTACTAGCAATAAACCAAGTTTGAGGTCAGTTAAACTTACATATTTCCATTTGCCAAACATAAGATTCTGAGGTACATCAAGTTGACAAGGCATAATAATGGTATCTCCATATATTGAATTTACTGTATACGATCCAAGGCCTTTAGAAAACAGGGAAAAAAAGAGAGAGAAAATTTTAAGTGTTTTCTTGAAGTAACAAAATTAACTATAACTATATTTTTAATATGAAAATATTGTCAAATATATCTCCAGGAAAATTCCAAACATTAAAATTAGAGAATGTGATAAAACCACAACTCAATTTTATTTATAAAGGAAACAATGAGCATAAAATGGTTACTTTAGAGTACTATACATTCAAATAGTAGTTTATAAAATTTTGCATAGAATAATAACATGGTATGCATTTCTAGAATGACAATTATTCATAAAGTGTTGTTTATAAAATTATTTCCCTCCATGTTTTTTGAGACAATTTAACCTAAATCACACACTGCTACTAAAGTACAGAATATCTGCTGACCTTCTACAATCTTTTGCTGAAAAAAAAAAAGTAAAATATAATTGGAGAAAGGAAAGACACAGACAGAAACATGCACAAAAAATATAGACAACAGAGGCAAATACTATTACATGCACAGTACTTCATTGCCACTGGCACCAAACACTAGGCTGTGGGTAAATGCATAGACAGGTGAGAAGATCAGGTGGGGGCAGAAGAACAGGAATACACCCAAGACCAAGGATAGGTTTGGCTGAAGATAATCTTACATACGCACTTGTGCTACAAAATTATCCACAGGCATTACAGAAGCAACAGAAGACAAGGCTGGAATAGCTTATCAGAGACAACCAACACCTTGAGAGAGAGAATCACTGGGCCTGCGTGCTTGGAATCATAGTCTTGGGGGGACAGTATGCTCAATTGGCGCAACATAGTACATAAAAATCTTGTTCTACATCCTACTTTAGTGATTAGTGAGTGGGGTCTTAAAAGATTTCAAGTGGCCATCTAAGATGCAACTATTAGTCTCCTCTCATCAGGAGAAAAGAAGAGTGAAGAAAATCAAAGTTATCTGGAAACAATTAGTCTAAAGATATGCTAGGCCACAAGGACTTCAGCCTTCATGATCCTGAGACCGGAAGAATTAGATGCTGCATAACTACCAATGCCAACCGCACAGAAAGGGATCAAAATTGGAGATCCAGAAAAGAGTGGAAGGAAAAATGTGGAACAAAATTCAAGAACACATAAATGGCCAGAAATACCAGTTGGATAGAGACTGGTGGAGACCCCCTTTGGTCCTACAAATGGATTCATTTCTATGTATTTGCTCTCAGTCCAACTGTAGAAAGACCTACATGCAGAACACCTACTCCAGGGAGATGCACCCACCTACTCTAGGGAGATGCAACCCTTAGTCAACCAGCCATGAGACATCGGATGGGCAGCATCCATAAAGAGGCAAAGGTGGACATGTAGGAATACATAGATAACAGGGCACAGGCAGGGGATAGCCAGAGGGAGCAGAGGGGAGGAGTTTTTTTACGGTTGGTGATGGTACTCAGGGCCATAAAATCAAATGTGAATGAACTGTTGAATGTAAAACAAATCTTCTTTGTAATTTTGGACCGAAAGCACAATTAAAAAAAAAATGTAAACTATAAATAAGTAATTATATTGCAAGGGAAAAAAAATGTTGTGCGTTAACTATGTAGCATAGATCTAATCCATATATATTCATGACATTCAACCAATTTAGGCATGTAACTTGGTAATAGCACTTAGAAACATATTTATTTTGCTTAGAATTACCTATAACGTCAATACTATTAAAATAAAATATCTCAAACTATATCATAATTGGATACAGTATGTGAAGGGACTAATTTTAAACAGGAGATAAAAATAAACAAATGATATTTTGTCCACCAGGTGGTGCTAAAGTGCAAAATTAAGGCAATCTGCAGCCATGAATAAAACCATTTTAGGACTTCCTGAAGAAAGAGGACACTGTGAATAAAATCTTTCACTGTTAGCACTCACAACATGTCCTAAAATTTTATATAAGGTAAAAATGATGAATTTTAATAAAGAAAAAAGATACCATGATCTTATTTTTAAATTGTCAATTGAGGAAGCGTCTTCGCCTTTAAGCAATTTTGCCTCAGTGAGCAGAAACATCAAAAGTAAAAAACATGCATTACATGTAAATATGAAGCATAACAACTAGAGTTTTCAGCATTTTTAGCATTTGTAAAACTCAGAATACAAAATATAAGGCATGAGACATCAGAGGGGCAGCATTCACACAGAGGCAAAGCTGGACATGCAGCAATGACAGGTAACAAGGGCACAGGGAGGAGGCAGTCACAGGGAGCAGAGGGGAGGAGTGCTTTTCATTTATTATCTGAGAAAAAAAGATTTACTAAAATTGTTTTTTGTGTGCTCAGTTCCATAATGAAAAATTAGCTCAATAATTTTTAATTGTCTTGTATGCCCCACCCTGGAACTTCAATACCTTTTAGCTTCAAACCATGGAATAGCATAAGGTTGTAAATGAGGAGCTGTTTCTTCAGAGGTAGGGGTGTAGATATGTGGTTGCAAACATGCAAGCTAATGACCGCTGGGAAGATGCCTTATTCCACAATACAGCATTTGTTTTCGTCAGGGCTTTGGCTCCTAAATGTGGAATTTCTACCACATATATTCAGACCTGTTCAGTGCAACAGGTACAGTTCTACCATGTCAAGGAAACTATTTTGTAACTTAATATTCTATTTTTCATCAATGTATGGCAAGGCACCTGAATATGTAAATTAATACGATCTGGACCTATAACTTATGATAGGAAATGCATCTTTATCTGTCTCTTATCGTTGTTGTTGTTGTTATGTGCGGTTGAGTCGAACCTGACTCATAGACCCCTCATTGGGTTGCCAAGGCAGTATCACTACGGAAGTAGATTGCCCAACCTTCCTTCTGAGGAGTGGCTGGTGGTTTTGAACTGCCAGCCTTCTGGTTACCAGTCAAATGCCTTAGGCACCATGCTACCAGAGCTCCTTTCTTATCATTATACAAGCACAATTTCCTTTGAATACTAAGGGTCCTTTTATGGTTGGCCAAAGAGTGAAAAGAGTTTACAAAGCTTAGGTAACAGTAACTCCTCAAAAGGAAGGTTGGGCAATCTACTTCCGTAGAGATACCATCTCAGAAACTGAAGGAGGGGTTGCTATGAGTTAGATCTGACTCCAGGGCAATGAGTTTGGTTTTCGGTTTTAGGTAAGAGTGAAGTGAATCTTTTGTCAGGTACAGGGAAATTAAAAAAATAAAAATTCCTTCTCCAAAAAATTTAATGCTTTGTTCTCTCTCACTAATCATTTTTCTTCCCTAGGGAATTTCAATGTGCTAGAATATACCACATTTTATAACAGGTTTTAACACTATAAATTTTTGGTACCTAGCATAATTACTGCAGGGAACGGACTATGTAATTTTAATCTCTGTATTTCCAGGACCAGTGCCTAGCATTTAATGACCAGCTAATAAAATGATTTCTAATTTGAATGTTGCAGAGTCCTTTCCATGTTGGATATCAAGCTGACGTCACTGAAAATCAGGGAGCAGTTGATAACATTGAAACTTTGGGGAAAAAACAAAAAACAAAAAACAAAAAACTCCACTATAGGGTTTCCAAGTATGTAATCTTTATAAAAGCAGACTGCCACATCTTTATTCTATGGAACTGCTGGTTGGTTGGAACCTGCTGACCTTGCGGTTAGCAGCCAAGTCCTTAACCATCACACTACCAGGGCTCCTTTACCATACACTCTAAAGGCTGTCATATGTTTTCTTGGATGTGTAAGAAATTTAAATTTTGTCCTGGTATGGAACTCTCTGTTTTGATAAAAAACAAACAAAAAGTAAAAACATATTATAAGGGTTAATAAGTGGAAAACTACCATGGAAGAGAAATTAAGGAGCACATGTGCTCTGTGATTTGCAAATGATACCCTAAAGTACCTCTTATCTTCCTTATAATGACCATAAAACACAAAGCAAAGAGCTGTTTTTTTTTTTTTTTTTTTAAGTATTTGAAGATTCATGGGTTGGGTCTTTTAAGGCAATTTTAAATAGAAAATCAGCCAGGATGATCTAGATTGGAATCTGGAGAGCAGAACAAGCATGACGGGAGAAGACACAGTGACCAGAATGAAGGCAGGAAGGAGGAAAGTCAGTAAAAGGCCGGCAGGGACAGCCAGCGTAAGCTCTTCCACAGACACAGGGCAGAACGAACCATAGGAAGTTGGATTGCATTAGGGCCCATAAACATGGTTATTTTAGAAACAGTTTTCAAGTTTGCTATAATCATCATCTTTTTCTTTTTGAAGGGCAGTGGGTTTGGTTTGTTTTGGTTTCTCCTGACTCCCAGGTTTATCTGAGAGAAAGATTAAGGGCATGGTTTGTGGAAAAGCTAAGTAACACTCAATGAGGATAAAGGAGCTGTAGAGACTACTATGGTTTGGTGATGAATTAATGTCTTAATTTCTACAGATGTCTTCATCTTTGATACGAAGTGCCAGTGAGATGCAAAATACCTGTCAACACGAATGACTCTGTTCACACCATTCACAGAAGAGCAAGCTTTTTTACCTTTGACTTGCCAAGACTGAATTTAATTTAGCTTACTAGAATTCCCATGCAATTTTCTCCCTGCAATGTTGGTTGGTTAAATTATTCATGGTTTGGCAGCCTAGAGACGAGCAGGCACTAAGGCAAATACAAAATGTCTATAATGTCCGGGCACAGAGAAGCTATAGGCAACATGTAAAAGCACTGCATGTGTGTGCAGAGTGTGTCCATTTGTGTGTGGTATGTGTTACATCTATGTGTATACACATGCTATTCAAACATTTTAGACTGTCCTGGAAACCTTCCATATTAAACATGTTCTGTAGATGTGAGATATTATTCTGAATTATTATTATTATTGTTACTATCAAAATGACCAGGCATAGCAAAAAAAAAAAAATGTAGAAATGTCTTATGTTTGAGGATCGGTATGCAGATATTTCAACATTTTTAAAATAAAAGTTTATTAACCAAAGATTAAAAACAAACAGTAGAGCTAGAAGCTAA